GCCATTGTTTTCTAGCAGTATCTCAACCATAAAACAAAATTTCTCAGTTCAACACAACCTATTAAGTATACTTTATTTACTATAAAATGGGACAGATTCAGAATTAGACCAGTATTAAAACTCATTTGTGAAACTTTTATCCCATCAAAATGATTGTTCAGATTTCTGAAGTAAATGTGCTGCTGCGGACTTGTATACTCATACCAAGTGTTTCAATATGGATTTGATCATCAGTCCAAAGAAAATATAAATCCTGTTGTGACTTGACAGTCCTCAGAATTTCATAGCTGTTTACTTCTTGGCTGAAATGGTTTACTAGTAGTTCAGTTTTTGATTGCTGAATAGCTTTTTCATGACTCACATTTCATTAAATATCTATAACAGGCATCCATCACCTATGTGAATATGTACTTTTCTCTAGATTAGTGCAAGATTAGCTGTCTAAATGTTTGATATGTTTATGTACCATGCCAAAAGGAAGTGCCCGTTATGTCATTCCTTTTTCAGCACGTCACATTTTTTCTTGTCTGCAGCTCAGAATGTGATGGGTTTGGATCTTGGATTCGATCATCAAAAACAAATAGCGAGCTGCCGCTGGCATTTGTTTTGCAGTATCTTTGCTGATGCTGAATCAACACTGTAAAGTTTGTGAACCCAACACAGTCTTTTCTGAGCATCCAGGCTTTTCATAAATGCTTCCATCAGGGAGTCATTCTTCCTTGGTTACAAGCCTTCACTTTTCTGCCTGCTTTCAGCCCACGGATGAATGTCACACAAATGTGGCTTCAAAATAAGGACAACACAGATAGCTCCTCCCAAAGCAGGAGACAGTAAGTAGATCTAGGATTCTACCACATTTTTATGTAAGTTTAAATAAACAATCTGCAAAGCTGTCTAATCCTGCAGGGTACAATATATGCCCTGTCTGCCAAGAAGGTTTTAGCAGTGAGAACAACTTCCATGCGCCTGAAATAACCGCAGCTGTGGGCATTTTACTGCTTGACACAGCATCTGCAGAATCCCTCGCAGCATTCTTATTTCCACGTGTTACAGATTTTGCTACCTTGTTAAAGTTTATTACTCTCCTGTCATTATGCTGTTGCGGCTCTTGTATCATCTTTTATCTTTATTGTGCTTAATTTGCCATTCTTTATCTCTGTTCTGTTCTCCTCACTCCAGAACTTACTGGTGTGCATAGCCAGAAAAGGGAGAGCAGTTTAAAAGTTTCTGATGATCGTTCAGCCATCCTAAAATGTATTTGTAATGCAGATTGCAACTTTTAATAATAAACGTTAACATGTGAACTGTCTAGTCACTCACCTAAATAAAAATCCAAGCAAAAAGTCCCTCATCCCTGTAAACCTCCTGAAAAAAGTTCAAATCCTGGACTTGCCGCTGGGGGCATAGTCAACAGGGAACTGCGGTATTTCCTGGCACAGGATGATAGATGGTTTCCAACCATGTTTGTCTCAGTCATATATCACATTTTTAGATATATTGGGCTGGATTCAGATTTATTAGACCCATTGGACTCAATGGGACAAGTTAGTCATAGTTACCTTAAGTTCTGTTGATATAAATGAGTCTGTCCTATGAAAGAATAATGCTGGAATCCACTCTTAGTGTGAATTGACCCATTTTAATGGTCACCATGATGATGAGGATGAGGATGAACTCACAACTGAATTTTAATTATGGGTCATAGGCCTGAAGTGTGTGGCTGCCCTTATAATAGGGTCACAAAGCAGCTTTTAAACAATGTTTCAGGTGTCACTCAGATTTAAAGAGTTAAAAGAAACTTGTGTTTCCCATTTTGTCATTCCCCTTGAAAAGTTAAAGGGTCTGAATTAGTGATGACTGAAGGATTATTGCTTTTCAGAAAATACCCTGAAAATATCATAATCTAATAGATATTTTGTCTCCAGGGGAGCAGAGAGCTAAAAAAGAAAAATCCATCATATATGAACTGACTTAAAAATACAAGCATCTGTTTTATAATATACAGTGATCAGCCACAGGAGATGTGCAGCTGCTCTGAATTATATAAATTATTGTTGCAGTCAAGCAGGGATTCTTCAGATAATTACCCAGGAACATTTTGAAGGACAGCACAAAGAGAAACAATGCATGAAACAGGATGGACCTTAGGAACTTGCCAGCTGAGCTTGAGTAAGAACTTTGCACCTGCCACCTCAGGCTGCTAAATACAATGTGGCACGATGGCACGACAACCGTGACCAGCCGAACTTTCGCTTTCTTCAAAAGTCCCTGTCCCTAACGGTTATGCAGAAGACTTTGACCATGGATTGTTCGCTTGGTCCCTCCCTCACTAGTCTAGAAGGGGCATTTCTGATCCACACGGGGGGCAGACGTTTGGGGAACACCTTGACAGAAGGGGCAGGGTCCAGAGTTATAAGGCCTTGGCCTGGGAACCCTAAATCGCTAGTGAGCAACTTGTCTCTCACCAGATATTGTTGAACTGAAACTCTGCTGAGCATCCATCCCTCATCACTGATTATGCTGACAGGGACTGCCGCCCAACAACACCTGGAGGGCCACAGCCTGCCCTTCTTTCCTTTAAATGACTCTGGGCTGCATACCAAAAGGACTGCTGACTCCTTCGTGAATGCACCTTATTCTTAAGAAGCTCCTCAGAGATCCTGCTCAAAATTCCCCTTGTTAGAGACTGCGCGTTTTAAGTGGTGGATCCTCAGCTTCTCCTCTCGTTCTCCATTTCCTTAACACACTCCCATATGGAGCTGAATATGTTGTTCCTTACACAGGGTTTGAATACAGTTTGGGACCTTTTAGCTTTTGTCATTGGTTTTAAATGGGTAAATGCTAACAGCACTGTGCAGTTGTTTAAGCCCTTTAAGCATGGGTTTCGTTGACGATGCGTTAGCAAAGGACAAGGTGTTTATTTGAGGAAGAGTGAAAATAGATAAACAAGTCTGGAATGAGTGCAGTTAGAATTAATAGTATTTTAAATCATTCCAACCTTGATAATTCCTTCCACAGACTACCTGTGACTTTCTAGCCAATGTTTCATGCTCTCTCCAACATACCTTAATATTTTCCACTCCAAATCATCCCCTTCCCCACCCACCCAAAACACAAACCCCAAACAGGGTAGACTGTATCTGGTTAGGCTGTTGTTGTTCATTACTATTTCTTTCTGCTGCTCTTGCTGCTTTTCTTGTGTGAAGAACCTTGTGTTAATATATAGTTTCAAATCAGTTATATGCCACTTTGGAAACTAAAGGTCATGGGTTGGATCCAGATTCAGTCATACTCAGGGTAGATCCATTGAAATTAGTCATGATGAACCCGAGTTCCATTTATTTCAGCCAGTCTTCTCTAAGTATGACCAGGACTGGATCCACCCTGAGAGGAAGGAGCCAAACTTTTTAAACAAATAGGCAGCACACATTCATGGCTATGTGCTCCGCAGCTCAATAGACAAGAAGACAAGCCAAACTAAGGCACCTGGTATGTTGAGATGATATTATTTTTATTTTATTATTGTTTAATTACCAACATGCTCTCTACCTGTGTGCATGCTCTCTACCTGTGTGCATGCTCTCTACCCACAGGTACATGCTCTCTACCTGTGTGATATTATTTTTATTTTATTATTGTTTAATTACCAACATGCTCTCTACCTGTGTGCAGTAGTGCACACTAGACTATCCTGCTACTGTCTGAGCTTAACTACATGCTATTTTAAAGCCATAGCCAGAAGCTATGCCTTCTTTGGCTGTATGGTAAGCACAGGGATTCTGGATTGTAAGGCTAGTGCAGGGACTAGAGTTCTAACCCTTTGACCTTGCTATGGTTCCAGTCTGGTGGCCCCGGCCTGCAATTTCTGTTGCTGAAAACAGCTCTGTTTGCTTTCGAGGGTCACCATTTAGCAGGCACACCTGCCCTCCCTCCTCAATGTCTGGACTGTGAACAAAATGTGTAGCAAAGTGTTAACCCTCCACTCATGCTCCAGGGTAGAGTCCTGGTTGGGATTACAGCCCCTTATATTTATTTCAGGGTAATACACAGAGAGAGGAGGAGGAGGTAGATTCATGGTTGAGGCTATAAAATAAGTCTGGGTTGTTTTTCAATTTAAGTAGCACTGTGAGGAGGGGGTATTGTCATACACCTGGAATTATCTCTAGATCAGAGCAATATATGGGTGCACATGCCCATTTTGTGCTTTAGGGCTTTGACAGACATACTGCCTGGACTGGCAGTATGTAGAAGCCTCCTGTGCTCACTCCTGTGCTTTTAATAGAAGCCTCCTGTGCTCACACCTTAGCACTTAAGGGGCGTGTATGAAAACAACAACTCTGAAAAGGCAGGTATAACAACACCTGTGAGAGCCCATTCTAACATCTCCCTTGCCAACTGCATAGCTGCTCTCCTGCGGGAGTCCCAGTGGAGAGGCAGTCGCTGTTGGCTAAGGTGAGTCACCTGTGGTTTGCCTGCCTATGCTGAACGAAGCAGAAGCACATCCTTAGCTGAAAGAGAACCTGCTTGAGTCATTCTAGGGCTGGCTGGAGAAGTGCTCGGAAGAGCATGCGTTGCTGCTGTAGCATTTGATCAAAAGATGAAGTTGGTAGCGATACAGCCCAAGGGCTATCTCAGCACAAAATTGCACTTCTAGGGGTTTTTTCCCCCAGCACATCTTTCCATCCACCTTTTTCCATTCTCAAGGGTTAATGCATTAAGTGTTGGTCAATATATTTATTTATTTAAGCTAAGCTTAAAATGTTTTCCATTTTGTTTAAGCATCCAATATCAAATCTGTGTCATCCATAAATCTTCATAAAATAACCATTACCTTTTAAATTACTCATGTCATGCCATTATCTCCACTGATAAAATTTTAAATGTAAGATGGTGAAGGATGAACTGCTAAAAGTGGCCTTTAAAGTAATAGAGTCAAATTCTTGTGGTTTATGAGAGTAGTCTTGATGTTAATATTCAGTCCCTGTTGTTTTCCATTACAGCCCAACCTTGCCTGCTCTGGACTGGCAGCTGCCATCTCACTCAGGACCTTATGAACTTCGGATTGAAGTGCAGCCCAAGTCCCATCACAGAGCACATTATGAGACAGAAGGCAGCCGAGGGGCTGTGAAAGCGTCTGCTGGGGGACATCCAGTGGTGCAGGTAAAAGCATTGCTCATGGCAGATAAAGCTGGTTGTTTTAGAAGGAACATACTCATCCATACCTCTTGCAAAACCACTGTCTTTGAAGTATTGCAAAACCACTGTCTTTGGTGTGCATTCCCCATTGGTCAAACTCTTGCTTCCTGTTGAGCCATTGAAGACAAATTCCATATTGCATGAAAGTCAGTGTCCTGGGTAGACATCTTTGTAAGTTCAACAGCAGGCCGTGTGAACCGAACCGTGTCCTTTATGGGCCACTTCTTACATTAACTCAGCAGTGTGGTTACTATGAGAATGCGTCTGTGTGCTGATTTTAGTTTGTACGAGGCTAATATAGCCTTGCCTAACCTGGCCTCCTCCAGATGTTTTGGACTATAATTCCTAGGAATCCTAAATATTGGCTAGGCTGTCTAGGACTGATGAGAGTGGAAGTTCAGCACTTCTGGAGGACACCAAGATTGGGGAAGGCTGGACTCACTGCTAAGGCTGCAACCCCCTGTAGAGCTCGGTGTGTTTCACCCAGTTGATTTCAGTAGACTATATATGACCAGCCCTTAGGCTGCCTGTGTCTCAGGCCCAGTGTCATGGGTCAGTATACCCAGGCAGTTGACATCCTGAGCCAGTCTGACTACTCACAACCTAGTCTGCTGCCAACCCAAAACAGTGACTGCAGCCAACCCAACCTTTGAACATTCCTCCAGTGCTGGAAGCAAGTGGGCTGCGGCTGGTACTCTGAAAGAGAAAGCTGGCACATCCATAAATTGAATAAATTGCAGCCATAGGATACCCACCCTTTCTGCCATGTTCCAGGAGATCTTCTCTGCAAAGCAGTTCTACAGGTTATGTCCTCAGACTTTTGCAAGCGTCTCTCCTCTTGTGCACTCAAAGACAAGTTAATGGAGTCCTGCAGTAGGAGATATGATGGTTGGAGAAGTTTGAGATACTTGTGTTCATGTGGCCTTCTTTAACAACTTTCAAGGGTTAAAAATGTTTTGATAGAAGCTCTTTTCTCATTTCTTATTTCTTGAAAAAATGACGCAGATCTGAAGTGAATTTTAGCAAGGAATAACTGCAACTTTTTGTGTTCCAGGGAAATAGCTACCCAGAAGATGTATCAGACTTCAAACAGCTGGGTTTTTGTTTTACTTATTTAGCACATTTCAGTGTGTAAACAGCTTAACTATTCCTGTCTTATTTTTCCTATCTTTTTAAAAACAAATGAACACTCTAAAATGTTTTAAGTCAAATAAACTTCTGCATGTACTCTGCTAGGTGCCTACTGCAAGGAAATGTAGATGGGAGGCATCAGTTCACAGTGGCCAGTTTGACATTTAAAATTTCCACTCCGGTGATTGGAAAAAACGGGATACAGTGCCAACATTTAATTGGGCTAAATGCGTCCAGGCACTCCCCTGCAATCTCTTGCTGCAGAGCGTGGAAATAAAATGAAGCATGCCGTGTTCCTCTCCATAGGCAGGCTTGTGGAAAAGAAAGAGGAAAGCAGGTGAAAAAGTGGGAAGGACAAGAGGACAAGTCTCCAATCAGTAGGCGTAATGAAGAAGAAGAAACTGCTCAATAGAGCCTATGATGAACGGAGTTGCTTTTTCTTTATTCTCCTGTTGTCCTTCCCTATCCAGTGTTAAATGGGACTTTGAGGGGTGCCCTCCCCAAATCCTCTGTTTAACTTACAGCTTTTTGCTAGTTAAGAGCCTACACTGATCATCATCGACATCTGAGGAGTCCCACCTCTCAACAGCTCCACAGTCCAGTCAAACCAGCTGTATGTTTACAATTGCAAAACCAAATTTGAGGGTACAATTGTAGGCAGCCTGATGCAAGCCTGCCCCCCCCCTTTTAAGTTACATGCACTGAAACCAAGGGAAAGGGAAACCTCTAGGCAATGGAAGAGCAGGAAAGAGGTGATGGCACTGCAGCCGAAGCCTGACCAGCGCATGATGGCAGGACAAAGACCATGTCCTTGTGCCTGAGGCATCCCCAGTATAGGCCAAGAGGCTTGCTGAGGGGGCAGACTGGGCAAAGTGGCCCCAGACACAACACTAGTGGTGACGCAATTCCCTGCAGACCTGGGTGTAAGGATCCTCACACCTGATGCTAGAAGCAAGCCCAGGACTCCGCCGACTGGGGTTGGACCCCACTGTGAGTCCGTGGCCATTAATGTTAAGAAGTGAACGGTATCAGGTTCTAGCAGTGCTGGTGAGAGTTGCTCTTGCTGATATTCCTTCTTGAATGTACCCATTAAATTTACAGGAGCCCCTCACTGTATTGCAATTGCTTCTCTTCAATGCAACTTTGGCTCAGTACCTTGTAGATGGGATAGTATTCCCCTTCCCTTTCAGCCCAGGAGAATTTCCAGCAAGGGAGTGCTAGTAACACTCATTTCCACATATTGTCCTTGCAGTTGATGCAGCAGGCATGTCCCATGTAGTATCGATACTGCATCAGGAGAACATTAAGCCTACTGACGCTCACTTAATTAGTAGGTTGGCTAGCTCTCTCTTTCCCAAGACCATTCAACTGAGTCAGAAAACTAGCGATGAGACAGATGTCACCTGTTTATAGGAGGAACCTTGGCTTCATGCACTTATTGATACTTTTTGCTGCCCTGCAGGTGAATATGCATGGACTCACCTGTGCACTTGGTGCAAGTTCTCACTCCTACATGTTTGCTCTCAACTTGTCTGGCTTTTTGGCTGCCATGGCAGCCCCAGGTTATCCTAAGGATTTCTGAATGCTTGCAGAGTGAGATGAGCTGACACACCTAGCAAGAGCTAAAAATGTGTTGAGCATACTAGCTGATCAAAGGAGCTGGTTAATTGGCCAAGGTGAAGTAATGTTTGGCAAGGTGTTTCATACCTGTCCCATAAAACTGGGTTACTAGTCATAATCCTCTTTAGTTATTCAGTACTTTCCCTGTCGAGTTGTTGCAAAGGACAAAAAAGGGCCTTCTATTCTGGGAATTCAACATTCTAGATTGCAAATCCTGCCCTCCCACTAACATCCTGTGTGGCCCAAGGCAACTCATTTAATTTCTCTGATGCTTGGATGTACAGAGTATTTTCTATGCATGAGTACAAGAGTGCTGAGGCTCTGTACACAGGAAGCAAAAGAGGAAGTAAGGGGTAATCGAGGGTTAGAGCCGAAAACTGCTTGTTTCTGCAGTGAATGGAGAGGAATATTTGATCTTGCCTCTTATTTTTATCACACCTTATTCTTTAGTGTTTTCAACTCCTATGTCCATGTGACTTCTTGATGTGCATGTCCAGAAAAATGTAGAAAACACAAGGAAAGGGAAGTGAGACAAAGCCTTTGTGCTAGCCAAGGACATGCTCATCCCAGTGCAGACTTTTAGCCTACCAGTAATTTCCTTTACATGGTTCAGAGCAATCTTAGACTTTGAGAGAGCATGCACTGGCAGTATATGAAACCTGCCGTATGGGGAAAAGATCATGGCGAGTAAGTAAACTATGCACAGTTTTAAACATGAATTCTGAATTCCTAGCATGATGGAGTTCCTGTGGCCATGGCCATTTGTTCCCTCGTCATGCAAAAATTATTGCTGAGCTGAAGGTTTGAACTACTCCATAGAATCACACAAATTAGGGAGATTCAAAGACTGGATTCTCCATATCCATACCATATATCACCCCTGTTATGATATACCATTAGCAGAGAGCAGAAGTAGACAAGGTGGTTCATGCTAGAGGTATATGTAAGATTCAGTAAAGAATACTGCAGAAATACCTGTACTTTCTTACTAGGAAAGAGAAGAAGCAAACACAAATATAGAGTTGTGATATGGAGAGCTTTTCTGGTTCCTGTCTGTCCATCCATCCATCCTTCCTTGCATCCTTTTCTATACTTTTCTTCAAAATCTTAAAGAAGCTAATAAACTTCTACAAGCTTCACAGCAAAAACAGGGAGAGAAAAACTGGAAGGACAGGATTAAAATTTTGATGGTAAGATACAACAAAAAGCATAATATAGGCAAAAATCATACAAAAGACAAAGGTAGCTAACAAACAGCAGCAGGATGCACATTGTCTTTCTCCAAGTACTTCCTTTGTCTACTGTCTATGTTTTGGATTGGAGGAGAGATTATACTAATGAGCCATAATATGGGAAGCTGCTATGAAGGCATTTCCTGAGTCATTCACTTTCAAACAAGATTGCTCCAATGTATTCTTCAGTACAGCCACTAACACTTTGGGAAGCCTGACCATAATCATAAAATGCTTAAAAATGAAATGTTTTAGGGAGAGACAACATCTATAAGCTGAAGGCTGTTTTCAGCGCTTACCAGCTCTGATGAAAGAATAAATGTTATTACAGAACATTCCTAAAACAGCAAAACATTTTAATAAATGCTTGTTTGAATACATACTCATTCTTGGATGGATTAAGTTTAAGGAAAGCTTTGAAATAGCACCAAAGATGCACAATAATTACTGAGGATGCAGGTGGCACAGTGGCGCTGTGCTGCTGGGCTGGTTGATCGAAAGTTTGCCAGTTCGAATCTGCACGACGGGGTGAGTTCCCATTGCTCCGTCCCAGCTCCTGCCAAACTTGCAGTTCGAAAGCATGCAGATGCAAGTAGGTAAAAAGGTACCACTTCGGTGGGCAGGTAACAGCATTCTGTGCACTTCAGTGTTTAGTCATGCTGGCCACATGACCACGGGGACCGTCTGCGGACAAAAGCTGGCTCCCTCGGCTAGGAAATGGAGATGAGCACCGCCCCCTAGAGTCAGGCATGACTGGACTTCATGTCAAGGGGAAACCTTTACCTTTTAACAATAAGAGAAATTTTATTTTCTGTTTCCCAGGATATTTCTTATGAATTGGGTTGTCTCTCACTTCCATCACTTCAGTACATAAAAGAAATAATAAATCTGGCACAGCATTTGTGGACTGTTAGCATTGACTTTTACAAGGCCAGGGTTTTATTCACATTTGTAATATTTAGGTTAGAATCAAGTTTATGA